ACAGAGAGAGAATGAAACATGGCCAAGACACAATATTGTAAATTGACTTAATCCTCTAAACGATTACTCTTTGAGCCGGCACTAAATAGATGTCATCATTCATGTAGCAAAACAAAATTTTCTTGCTGTCCAGTAAAAGCCTTGGGTTGATTCTATTCTTTCAAGATACCTTCATCCAAAAAAGTAAAACATAAAAATAAACTATTTGTAAGGATGAAATCATGTCCGAACGTCACCAACAACTACTGCGTCCAAGTTGATGTTTTACATTAGAATAACGAGGAAGTCTCGGTGGCGGAAGTGCAGCGTAGAGAACCAAACAGGCTGCAAGTCGACAGGCAAGAAGTTCATCCGATGAGCCTGCCAAGTGTTAGGCAATTGTTAGGGCAAGAAACGGTGAGGTTGGATTCCCTTGAAGGCTTCGAAATGTTGTGAAGTGCTGGGACGAGGCGATCCTCTTGTGCGATGAGGATATTATGAACAGGAAAAGAGAGTTTCTGAAAAAAGGAATAAGGTCAAAGCTATTACCTCTGCTCACCAACAGCCTGTACCCGTTTCTTCCTTTCTCCAAGCCGAACTACTCTGAAATAACTCCCAAAGCTCCCCTCTTCATTCGGCTTCACCCAGCCGAGAGCAATGAAAGCTCCTCCTTCTCTCAGCCGAACAAACCCTAGGGATTCTTTTTCCCCGTCCCACTTGTTCTGGTTGGGAAAGCCCCGAACACAAGAAGCGGAAGAACGAAGAAGCTACCTCAGTTTTTCCTGTTCTTCCTGGTCGCTGCTGCGTATTCCCCAGCCCAGCCCGACAACTCTAGCCCTTGCCGTCCAAATGCGATTCCTCACCACCCTGAAGGTCCCAAGCGGCGGCGAGAGGAGGAGAGCACAGTAGCCTGCGGCTCGTTTAATCACTTTCTTGACGATTTCAGCTACTCGATCGTGCCTGATTTGGAAAAACTTATATAAAGAGCCAAAATGGCAGCCCAATTTTGAAGAAAACTGAACCGGATAAGCCAATTTGAGTTCTATTTGGAATAGATTTGACTCGATTCAAGTCGAGTCAACTCGATTTGATCCAACTTTGTTTCATTTGATGTATTGGATAACTCCGTTTGATTCGAGTCAACTCAACTGGATTGAATTACTGTTAAATCAAATAAAATAAATCAATTCAAGTGAATCGATTAATTCAATGTAACCGATTAAAGTTGTAGTTGAATCGAGTCAAATTTGGATCAATCAAATTTTCGGGAAAAAATTAAGTTGAAATTTGATTTTTTTTTTTTAATGAGATTGAGTCGACCCTATTTAAAAATTAATTAGACAGGGGTGATGGTTCGATATTAGCAATTAGGCGGTTGCCTGATAATAATGGTTCGACAGTGATGCTCGAGTGAAACTCTAATAAGCTAAGGTCATCTCCCCTTGATGTAAAGGTTGGAGGTCTATTATAATTTTTTGATATTGACATAACCTTTCAATATAACCAAATCCTTAGCTAATCTTGATCATAGATCATTCCTTCAACTTTTGATATCAATGGATTCATCTCTTTAAAATGTTTAATTCAGCTATAAGTTGGCAAAATTTAGAATTTTGATGATCCTTAATTTAATATGCAATGAGATTCATACTAGATCAATGCAATTTTAAAAAATATCAAGAACTTCTATGTAGATGGAATCAAACAAAATTCTTACATGAGATTAAGGCTACTTACAAAGCTCGCAGTTTGGAACTCCTTCACATTATTGTTTAGAAATTGGTTCGCCTTGAAATCAACTCAACCAATTTTGAACACCACTACATAATCGAAATTGATTTTCAGTTTGCTTCAATTGGCTTAAATATAATTTTTATTGGGACATGTAGACAGAACTAAAACTTCCTGTTCCAATTAAATTGTGTGATGAGAACCCATTAGTCGCTCTTCGGAGCTCAGCAAAAGAAACCTGTACATGATTCTGATCTTTCTCAAATCTCTCTATCAAAGGAAGCTTTTTTGACTTTCTCCTCCTCCATGTTGAAAAGACAAATAATAGAATGATACATGTTATTGGGATGACCGTTGCTAGTAGCAAAGTTAAATTGTGCTTCTTCCTCGAGGCTTTATTATTCATAAGGCATGGTGGTAGCTTTAATTCAACAATACATCCACAAAGTTTGTCATTTTCATACACTGAAAATGCACTTTTGTTCAAAAAAATACCATTTTGTGGAACTTCTCCTTCAAGCTGATTGTAAGAAAGGTCCAAATATTGAAGGGATTCTGAGAATTTGGGTATTTTTCCAAATAAATTGTTATATGAAAGATTAAACCGCTCAAGGCTTTTTAATGTTTTAAGAGATGATGGAATGTCCCCTTGAAACAAGTTATTGTCCATGTAAAGATGTTTGAGTTGCACACATTGAGCAAGACTGCTCGGAATTCGACCTGATAATTTGTTACTCGACAAAGCAAGAGATTCAAGATTTACTAATAGGCCAACATCGATAGAGATCAATCCAGTCAACAAGTTGTTTGACAAGTCAATACCAAGGGATAAAGAAGTGATGCTAAAGATTTCTTTTGGTATGGTGCCCATGAACTTGTTGAATTGAAGGTCCAACTGCGTTAGTTGTTTACAACTTCCAAGATTAGAAGGAATATGCCCACTCAAATCATTGTGATCTAAAAAAAGATTATTTAACATTGAAATGTTGCCAATGTTGTATGGAATTTCACCTGAAAGTTTATTACCATGTAAGAAGTCCTTGGACAAGCGGAGTTTGCGTTCAATTCGATGCCTAATCGATCCACTGGCCAATGTCCCTTTAGTATCGTCTACACGAAGATGCCGAATCATATTGTGGACCTCACCATTATTCCTAAATGCAAAAGTGTAGTGATCGGTGCAGGTCATCAGCTACACCAAAGCTGGCTTTTACAAAAAATTGATTATACAAATATTTTTGGTTGTTGTGTTTGTTCCATTAAGATTCATGGCAGAGAAATCTCTAATGAGAATATTGTTGAATAAGTTAGAAACATGTCAGAGTACCAACTTGAGCTTAACTAACAAAAATTTTCTGAACATTTATAAGAAAAACAATTTGTCTAAACATTCATTCTGATCAAAATTTCGATCAGAATGAGAGCCAAAATTCTTGAGTATGTTTTGGGATGCATGCAATATTTTTGATGAATTATCTAATGGTTCTATAGTTTCTTCATCAACCGATCTTATGGTGGATGATGCTTTCTCTTCTTCAAAATTCAAATTGTTCTTCTGATCATTTCCTTGATTTTCCCATCAAAAAATTTATCTTAGTTTTTTGAGTTTGTCGACCGATTTAATCAGAATATATTTAAAATTTGATTGATTATTCATATATTATATTCATATCAAAACTAACTTTAAGATCACTTGTAATCAATTTTTTCTCCTGATAACAGTGAACTAAATTTTCCATTAAAATAATAATTGTAACGATAAAGAAAGAATAACAAAAATTTGTACCCAAGCTTCTAAGATTATAAACAACTTAAGCCAAGTTCTGATCATTGCATGAAAGGGCTATCCCAATTCTTCAAAAGGAAAATTTGCATTGAAGAATTGGTTTGGGAAAGTTTTTTTTTTTTTTTTTTTGCTTCTTAAAGCAGTTTTTTAATGCAAAAAATTTAATTTTTGTTCTAAAAAGTTGTTTTAAGAAGCAGTAAGAAAGCTGTCTCAAACCAAACATAAAGCTGCTTAAAAAGCTCGCACTTCGAAACTCCCCTACATTATTGCTTAGAAATTGGCTCAATTGGAAATCGACATGAAACTTATTAACAATCTGATCTCAAAAGTTGATTCAATATAAGTTCAAAGTTTGTCAAGCTATTTTTTTTTAAGCTTGCTCAATCTACTCACCAAAAAGCTATAAATTTTTTTTTTTTTTTCAATGGGAATGAGAGCTTCCTGCCCTTTACCTCTATTGCTATGAGCATGTAGATGTGCAATAGGAATTTTTAACATTTCTATGGAATATGGTGATTTAAGTAATATGGGAAGAAATCCCTCTTTGGGCCAAAATCTTCGAGAAAGATTTATTAACTCAGATGTTAAGCAAACTATTTCAACAAAATATATTACCATAGAACCTTAACCAAAAAAAAAAAGGAGACAAAAATAGTTAACTTAATTTCATAATTAAGATGCTAAAGATGTGTTGTTTTTTCGTTTGAAGACTTGAGGAATATGTTTCTGATCGCATATAATTCATTAAAAGCTTGAGCTATTTGTATTCTTTTTGTCGGAGATTCCTCTGAGCAATGAAGTCCAACTTTAAGCACTGAGACAATGCAATCCAATTCAGACTTGCTTACAATTCTCATGCGCCGAAGGCCTTCCCCAACTTCTTCATCTTCCTCATGTAAAATCAAATAAGGATCCACAATATCCATTGCCCTTTCAGGTAGAGAAGCCTTGACAAATAGATGAAGGGTGAGACCTTCATTGAATGTTTCATCAATTGGTCTCCTTCCAGTAAACAACTCCAATAGAATTATTCCAAAGCTATACACATCTCCTTCAACAGAAATGTGGTTGGCCGCCCCATATTCTAGTTGTAATAACATGTTAGAGAAAATAAGAAATACAAGGTATAAAAATTATTTTACCAAGTGCATGAAGATAGATACCTAAGGCTGCATATCTGATGGTTCCTTTCAATGCAATAGAGCTAGTAGATCCAAATTTCCAATGTAGACAGAACCAAAACTTCCTCTTCCAATTAAATTATGTGATGAGAACCCATTAGTTGCTCTTCGGAGCTCAGCATAAGAAACTTGTACATGATTCTGATCTTTCTCAAGTCTCTCTATCAAAGGAAGCTTGTTTGACATTCTTCTTCTCCATGTTGAAAGGATAAATAATAGAATGATACAAGTTATTGGGATGATCGTTGCTAGTTTCACAGTTAAAGTGTGATTCTTCCTCGAGGCTTTATTATTCTGAAGGCATGGTGGTAGCTTTAATTCAACAATACCTCCACAAAGTTTGTCATTTCCATACACTGAAAAAGCACTTCTATTCAGAAAAATACCATTTTGTGGAACTTCTCCTTCAAGCTTATTGTAAGAGAGGTCCAAATATTTAAGGGATTCTAAGAATTTGGGTATTTTTCCAGATAAATTGTTATATGAAAGATTAAACCACACAAGACTTTTTAACAATTTAAGAGATGATGGAATGTTCCCTTGAAATAAGTTGTTGTCTATGAAAAGATATTTGAGTTGCACGCATTGAGCAAGCTGGCTTGGAATTTAGCCTGATAATTTGTTGTTCGACAAAACAATAAATTCTAGATTTACTAAGAAGCCAACATCGATAGAGAGCAATCCAGTCAACAAGTTGTTTGACAAGTCAATACCGATGGATAGAGAAGTGATGCTAAAGATTTCTTTTGGTATGGTGCCCATGAACTTGTTGAATTGAAGGCCCAACTGCGTTAGTTGTTTACAACTTCCAAGATTAGAGGGAATATGCCCACTCAAATCATTGTGATCTAAAAAAAGATTATTTAGCAATGAAAGGTTGCCAATGTTGTGAGGAATTTCACCTGAAAGTCTATTACCATGTAAATATAATCCTTGTAATGAGTTCAACTTTTCAATCCCCATAGGAATGGTGCCTGAGAGATTATTATTTCCTAAGTTTAACAAGTTAAGACAAATGAGATTTCCTATCTCTATAGGTATGTTTCCAGATATTTTGTTCCAGCTTAATTCTAAATATGACAATGTTGTAGATAGATTTACTATTGATTGAGGTAAGATTCCTTCTAATTCATTAGAAAATAGCTCTAGTATCTTCAAATTAGTACAGTTGGTTAGTGCCGTAATGAAGGACCATTCTTTGAGGTCTCTTGCTTGCAAGAAATTTCCAGCGAATAATACAATTGATAGATTTTTTAAATTCCCTATATTACTATGTATTGGCCCATCAAATAAATTTTTAGAAAGTTGAAGTAATTCTATTCCAGAAGAGTTGAACAAGAAGGTGGTAATGGGCCCATGAAGGTTGTTATATGAAAGGCGAAGATGTTTAAGAGAAGGAAGAGTTTTCATTGGTAAAATACCAATTAAACTATTATTTTCTATGCCCAAGTCTATGAGACAAGTGAGATTCCAAAGAGATTCTGGGATAAATCCACCAAGCTTATTATACCCTAGTTCTAGTACAACTAAGAATCTTAGATTTCTTAAAGATGGTGGTATGTTTCCATACAAGTTATTAAAACTGAGATACAATTTATTAAGTTTCAATAGATGTCCTAAAGAAGAGGGAATCTCTCCGATAAGATTAATTTTACTCAAATCTAATACGGTGAGATAGGTGAGGTTGCCAAGGCATGGTAAAATACCACCTTCAAGGTTGTTGATACCTATATATAGCTCTGAAAGAGACGTGAGGTTGCAAAATGAAGGTGGAATTGCTCCAGAAAATTTATTATTTTCAATATATAAGATATTTAACCTGAGAAATTCTCCAATAGATGGTGGAATAACACCACTGAAATGATTGATTCCCAAGGAAAGTACTTGCAAATTGACCAACTTCTCAATTCCAAAAGGAATGCCTCCATAAATTTGGTTTTCCGACATATCTAAATATTTAAGATGCACTGAAAGATTTGTGACTGAGATAGGAAGCTGGCCTGTCAAGCTGTTCATTCCCAGCCCAAGAAAATGTAAATTACTGCAGTTTGTCAAAGAAGTGAGAAAATTCCAATCTCCCTCCTCCATGGCTACCAACTTGTTGCTATGAAGCATCAGCACTTCTAGATATTTTAAAGCTCCAAAACTTGTAGGTATTATGCCAGTAAGATTGTTTGAATTGAAATCAATGAAATTAAGCATAGTGCAGAGGCTAAGATTTGAGGGGATCTCACCATGAAGCATATTGAACTCCAACTTAATAAGTTGCAAATGAGAGCACTGAGAAAGAGTGTGAGGAATCTCGCCTGTAAGTGAATTGTTGTTTAGAATAAGAAACTCAAGGTTAGAAAGATATCCAAGCTCATGTGGAATGGATCCATAGATTTGAGTTTCAGAGATCTGAAGCTTCTGGAGGAAGGTGAGGTTTCCCAAAGAGGGAGATATTGAGCCAGCCAAATCAATGCCTATGAGTTCTAAGGCTATGACCCTTGGTTCATTACCACTTTGATTGTTGCAAGTCACACCTAGCCAATTGCAGAAATGAAGAGAGTTATTTCTCCAAGAGGCAAGTGCTCCATCTGGATCATATGTGATGAGAGATTTGAAAGATAATAGAGCAACTGCATCACTTGAACTATGAGTTGATGATATTACAAGATTTCGTGAGAAGAAGATCATTAAAAGGAATGAAGCATAAATTCTGAGCCAAAATGTGAGATCCATGTGTTTCTATGTTAAATGGAGAAGTGAAGTAGTAGGAGAGATTATATAAGCATATAGATGGAGAAAGGAGAATCATGGCCACGCACAACATATTGTAAATTAACTTAAACCTTTAACGATACTCTTTATGCCGAGAGATTATTTTGTGCAGACACCGGACACGGCTTACCGTCCAGAGGAGAATCAGGTGCAACCACATCATCCAGTACATAGCTCAGTACCGAGCAGTATCGAGCCGTTGTACCAAGTAGGAGGTGACGTGGCATATTTTCATTGAGCTATGGATGATGTTCGGCGTCTACACAGAATAATTTCTCCTCCGGCCACTAAATAGATGTCATATTCATGCCATCGCAATTTTTTTTTTCTTGTTGTGGAATAAAAAGTCTTGGGTTGATTTTATTCTTTCAAGATACATTCATCCAAAAAGTAAAAACATAAAAAAATAAAGTGTTTTTTATGTTTTTTACTTTTTTTTTTTTTGTAGAATGAAATCATGTCCTGGACGTCACCAACACCTACTCGTCCAAGTTGATGGTTGAATAGGAATAAGAAAAAGACGAGCAATAAAGAATGTAAAAGCGGAAGTGCAGTCGACAGCAAGAAGTGCAATCCGTCGAGCTGCCAAGTGTTAGGCATTTGTAGGGTCAAGAAACGGTGAGGCTGTGATTACCTCTGCACACCAACAGCCCGTGACCGATTCTTTCTTTCTCCAAGCCGAACTACTCTGAAAATAACTCCCAAAGCTCCCCTCTTCATTCGATTTCACTCAGCCGAGAGCAATGAAAGCTCCTCCTTCTCTCAGCCGAACAACCTAGGGATTTTTTCCCCGTCCCACTTGGTTCTGTTGGGAAAGCCCCGAACACAAAAAGAGGAAGAAGAAGAGCTACCTCAGTTTTTCCTGGTCGCTGCTGCGTATTCCCCAGCCCAGCCCGATAACTCTAGCCCTTGCCGTCCAAATGCGATTCCTCACCACCCTGAAGGTCCCAAGCGGCGGCGAGAGGAGGAGAGCACAGTAGCCTGCGGCCGTTTAAGCACTTTCTTAACGATTTCAGCCACTCGATCGTGCCTGATTTGGAAAGACTTATATAAAGGAACTTTTATTGCGTCCGGTGTAAGGACGTAGAGGAACGTTGTTGGAGGCAAAATCCTGCCAAAAAACTCGGTATTTTGCTCGGTACAACTAGGTATTATTTGATAATAACGAGGAATACCGTTCTCTGAAGACCAATACTGAGGTATACCGAGCTGTACCGAGAAATACCGAATTATACATAAGTTGTACCGAGTGTTTCCTAGAAAAAACTCGGACAACTCGGTATTGCTCGGTATAGCTCGGTATAACTCGGTATAATTCGGTATTGGGTCTTCAAATGATAGTATTCCTCGTTATTGTTTGGTATTGCTCGATATTTGCTCGGTACAACTCATTTTTTGGCGGGATTTGACCTCCGACCGGACGTTCCTCTACGTCCGGTCGGAGGACGTAATAATTATTCTATATAAAGAGCCAAAATCACAGCCCAATTTTGAAGAAATCTGAACTGAATAAGCCCATTTGAGTTCTATTTGGAATAGATTTGACTGATTCAAGTCGAGTCAACTTGATTTGATCTAACCTAGTTTCATTTGATGTATTTGATAACTCCGTTTGATTCAAGTCAACTCAACTGATTGAATTAATATTAAATCAAATAAAATAAATCAATTAAAGTGAATCGATTAATTCAATGTAACCGATTAAAGTTGTAGTTGAATCGAGACAAAATTGAGTCAAATTTGAATCAATCAAATTGTCGGGCTAAAATTAAGTTGAAATTTATTTTTTTTAATGAGATCGAGTCGACTCTATTTAAAAATCAAGTAGACATGGGCGATGGTTCGATAGTAGCAATTACGCAGTTGCCTGATAATAATGGTTCGACAGTGATGCTCGAGTGGAACTCTAATAAGCTAAGGTCATCTCCCATTGGTGTAAAGGTTGGAGGCCTATTATAATTTTTCGATATTGACATACCCTTTAAATATAACCAAATCCTTAGCTAATTTTGATCATAGATCATTCCTTCAACTTTTAAGTGCATTAATAATGTCAAAATTAACTGATCTTAACTCATTGTCATCTCATCAAGACATTAGATTTGATTATAAGCATGCAAAATTTGGTGATTTCTTGGTCTTATAATTAATATCATGAAGTTTTTAACTATACTTCCAAGTGCTTAATCTAAACTCTTTTGAACTTGGATCAATTCACTTTTGGTATCAATGGGTTCATCTCTTTAAAATATTTAATTATGCTATAAAAAGCAAAAATTAGAATTTTGATCGTTCTGAAATTAATATGCAATGAGATTCATACTGGATCAAGGCAATTTTGATGAAATATCAAGAACTTTTATGTTGATGTTTTTTTCCCGATGTAGATGGAATCAAAGAAAATTCTTACATGAGATTAAGGCTACTTAAAAAGCTCTCATTTTGAAACTCCTTCACATTATTATATAGAAATTGGCTCAACTTGAAATCGACTCAACCAATTTTGAACACCAATCCATAGTTGAAATTGATTTTGAATTTGCTTCAACTGGCTTATATATATTAACATTTAGGTCAATTAAGGCAAACTCACACACAAATTGCATACACAAGACTTGAACTCAAAACCTCTTAATTGATAGCCTAAGTTCCCAACCAACAGACCAAAATGAGCTGTGTTCTTACATAGAATGTTGTTCGGCCCAAAATCTCACTATAAATGAATATTTATAAAAATATAAAATGTATATTAAAAACGTGTATAATTAATAGTATATTATCTATATTTATTCAAAGAACTAATTAAAATTCAATTTTGAGCCAAATTGAACCAGGTTACTTAAAGTTGAGTTGATTTAACTTGATAACAATAATAATACGACTGCACAAAAGCCATCTTTGACGCTCATTATGGTACTTCATTAAAATAGTTTATTTTCTTTTCTGCATTTTTGTCATAGATAATCTGAGAAATACATATATTAAAATAATACGGCTTCGTTTGGGACGGTTTTTTTATTGCTTTTAAAATGGAGTTTTAGTACAAATTTTTTTATTTTTGTATTAAAACTCCGTTTTAGAAAGCAGTCGTCCCAAACAAAGCCTAAATATATTAACAATCTGATCTCAAAAGTTGATTCAATATTGACTCAACATAAGCTGAAAGTTTGTCAAGCTATAATTTGTTTTAAGCTTGCTCAATCTAATCACCAACAGCTATAAATTTAATGTTTTTTTCAAAGGAAATGAGAGCTTCCTGCCCTTTACCTCTACTGCTATGAGCATGTAGATGTGCAATATGAATTTTAAAATTTCTAAGGAAGATGGTGATTTTAGTAATATTGGAAGAAGTCTCTCTTTGGTCTGGCAAAAGAAATTGCTTATATCAAGCCATCCAAAATCTTCAAGAAAGATTTATTAATTGAGATGCTAAGCAAATTATTTCAACGAAATACATTACTAAAGAAACTTATGCAAAAAACAAAAAAAAAAGGTGAGAAAAATAGTTAGCTTAATTTCATAACTAATGAGCTAAAGATGTGTTGTTCTGTCGCTTGAAGACTTGAGGAAGATGTTTCTGATAGCATATAATTCATTAAAAGCTTGAGCTATTTGTAATCTTTCTATTGGAGATTCCTCTGAGCAATGAAGACCAACTTTAAGAATTGAAATAATGCAGTCCAGTTCAGGCTTGCTTACAACTCTCATGCGTCGAATGCCTTCACCAACTTCATCATCTTCTTCCTGTAAAAGCAAATAAGGATCCACAATATCCATTGCCCGTTCAGGTAGGGAAGCCTTGACAAATAGATGAAGGGTGAGACCTTCATTGAATATTTCATCAATTGGTCTCCTTCTAGTAAACAATTCCAGTAGAATTATTCCAAAGCTATACACATCTCCATCAACAGAAATGTGGTTGGCCGCCCCATATTCTAGTTGTAATCACATATTAGAGATAATAATTAATAGAAGGTATAAAAATTATTTTGCCAAGTGCATGAAGATAGATACCTGGGGCTGCATATCCGATGGTTCCTTTCAATGCAATAGAGCTAGTAGAAGCTTGGGAGGACTGTTTTGTAGTATCAATAAGGAGCCTTGCTAAACCAAAGTCACTTACATGTGCAACCATGTCTTCATCAAGGAGAACATTACTTGGCTTGAGATCACAATGAACGATTGGTATAGGTCCATGATTGTGAAGATAGTCGACAGCAGAAGCTACATCAATAAGTATATTTATTCTTTGGATTATGGTTAATTTTTTTGGTCTATCATTGTCAAATATTGATGGTTGATGCAACCATTTATCCAAATTGCCATTTGACATGTACTCAAAAACCAAGGCTTTGAAATCATTGCCTTCATGGTTAATACTCGAGCATGAAGTTAATATCCTTACAAGATTTCTATGTCGAACACTTCTCAATGCTTTGCATTCAAATTCAAAGCTTTTAGAGGCTCCTCTTTGTTGGAGATTGAGAACCTTTATAGCGATACTTTTTTGCCAATTGTGATCCAAATTTCCAATGTAGACAGAACCAAAACTTCCTCTTCCAATTAAATTATGTGATGAGAACCCATTAGTCGCTCGTCGGAGCTCAGCATAAGAAACTTGTACATGATTTTGCACACATTGAGCAAGATTGCTCGGAATTTGGCCTGATAATTTGTTACTCGACAAAGCAAGATATTCAAGATTTACTAAGAGGCCAACATCGATAGAGAGCAATCCAGTCAACAAGTTGTTTGACAAGTCAATACCAAGGGATAGAGAAGTGATGCTAAGGATTTCTTTTGGTATGGGGCCCATAAACTTATTGTATTGAAGGTACAATTGCATTAGTTGCTTACAACTTCCAAGATTAGAAGGAATATGCCCACTCAAATCATTGTGATCTAAAAAAAGATTATTTAGCATTGAAAGGTTGCCAATGTTGTATGGAATTTCACCTGAAAGTCTACTACCATGTAAATCTAATCCTTGTAATGAGTTCAGCTTTTCAATCCCCACGGGAATGGTGCCCGAGAGATTATTTTTTCCTAGGTTTAACAAGTTAAGACCAATGAGATTTCCTATATCTATAGGTATGTTTCCAGATATTTTGTTCCAGTGTAATCTGAAATATGTCAATGTTGTAGATAGATTTACAATTGATTGAGGTAAGATTCCTTCTAATTTATTCCAAAATAAATCTAGTTCCTTCAAATTAGTACAGTTGGTTAGTGCCGAAATGAAGGACCATTCTTTGATGTCTCTTTCTTGCAAGAAATTTCCAGCTAATAATACTTTGGATAGATTTTTTAAATTCCCTATACTAATAGGTATGGGTCCATCAAATAATTTTTTAGAAAGTTGAAGTAATTCTATTCCAGAAGAGTTGAACAAGAAGGTTGTAATGGGTCCATGAAGGATGTTATATGAAAGGCGAAGATATTTAAGAGAATGAAGAGTTTTCATTGGTAAAATACCAGTTAAATTGTTATTTTCTATGCCCAAGTCTATGAGAGAAGTGAGGTTCCAAAGAGAATCTGGGATAAATCCACTAAGCATATTATACCCTAGTTCTAGTATAACTAAGAATCGTAGATTTCCTAAATATGGTGGTATGTTTCCATACAAGTTATTAAAACTGAGATACAATTCATTAAGTTTCAATAGATATCCTAAAGAAGAGGGAATCTCTCCTGTGAGATTAATTTGGCTCAAATCCAATGTAGTGAGAGAGGTGCGGTTGCCAAGGCATGGTAAAGTACCACTTTCAAGGTTGTTGATACCTATACGTAGAACAAAAAGAGACGTGAGGTTGCAAAATGAAGGTGGAATTGCTCCAGAAAATTGATTATTGCTCAAATCAAATATTTTTAACATTTGTAGCTCTCCAATAGATGGAGGAATAGAACCACTGAAATGATTGATGCCCAAGTACAGTTCTTGCAAATTGACCAGCTTCTCAATTCCAAAAGGAAAACCTCCATTGATTTGGTTTTCCTCCAAATCTAAATATTAAAGATGCACTAAAATATT